ATATACTAAGTATACTTGCAGGATTATTTGACCCCTTAGGTATTATAAGTCCAGTTGTAATTTGTGCTAAGTTATTGTTTCAGGAGCTGTGTATTGAGAAATCTGAAGGGGATAATGAGCTTGAAGGTGACAAGAAAACACGTTGGGAGAGGTGGATGGAAGATTTAGAGAGAGTAAAGCGTAGGTTTTGGTATTTAGCGAGTTTGAGAAAACATATTTGGTCCACGTGGAGGAATGAATACTTAACAATAATTAGGAGATGTAGTTCTTGTGTTTGAGGAAAGTTTGAAAGGAGGATTTTGGAAAATAGCAAGAATTGAGAGATTGATCAAGGGAAAAGATAATATAGTAAGAGGAGCGGAAATCAAAGTTGTTAGCAAGGGAAAGCCACTGCACATAAACAGGCCTCTTCATAAACTATATCCACTAGAGATGGATGCAAAGGTAAGTAAAGACAGATGTGTAGAAATAGAGAAAGAAGAAAGTAGTGAGAGAGGAGAAGTTTCAGAAAGGGTAGCAGTGTAGAAAGTCATAGGAAACCCAGAGGGGTGGCAACTGTGGATGCAAGTTGGACAAAAGTTTTGTTTCACCCTAAAGCTCAAAGGGGGTGTGTGTCGGAACTTATGTAAATAAGTAATTGATAGTTGTTATTTGATAGGAACTTATGTTAATATTTTGAAAGTCAGGGTTCTTCTGTCGCTGGCTGTGAATGTAAAAGCTTGAAATGTTTCAGATTATCTGTGATGCAGAATCGTTATATTGAGTAAAATTGAGTATTGTGAGTCGACTGCGCGTACAGTAGGATAGTATGCAGTCCCGAAAAAGAATTGGCAGACGCATAAATGCTTGTGCTAAAGCGCTAAGAAGAAAATTGCTACACTAATGTCTAGTTTGTTTTTAACAGAGGTTAGAGATAGGTAGAAATCATGTGCAATAGACATGCCAAGATTTCCGGAGTGAGTATAATATGAAAGAAGAGATACAAATTGTCTAATGAAGAAGATGGTCAAATGACGAGCATAAATGCTTGAATTTTCATATATCAACCTTAGAGTCAACAGCTTAGCATGGACGAAAAACAATTGCAGCAAGCTTACAAAGTTTACCAAAATTCTTTGGCCGCATTTAAAGTAAAAATTGAGTCATAAATTTCCTTCAATAATAACACAAGCCATAAGGTGAAAAATGAAATAACACATATTTTACAAACAGACCTTGTGGGCCAACGACTAATAGTTACTATAACAATAATTTAAACTTCCTTATAAACGAACACATCAGCGTAAACATACCTTGTTTAAGATCGCAATGATTTGTTTTTGGTAAGCAAATTGTTGTCGTTTGGAATTGTAACTTTGTTTGACTTTGATTAATCTACAATTACAGAATTATAAGTTTCCATGGGCACATTTATACGGTGGCCTATAAGTGTCACGGCAATATTTGAATACAAAAATCTCACGGCAACATTTAAATACAAAAATCTCACGGCAACATTTGAAAACTCACGGCAACATTTGAATACAAAAATCTCACGGCTACATTTGAATACAAAAATCTCACGGCAACATTTGAAAACTCACGGCAACATTTGAATACGAAAATCTCACGGCAACATTTGAATACAAAAATCTCACGGCAACATTTGAAAACTCGCGGCAACACTTAAAAACTCACGGCAACATTTGAATACGAAAATCTTACGGCAACATTTGAAATTCTTACGGCGGAAGCAAAGTGAAGGAAGTTAAATCATTGACTTATAGTCTAAAAAATATAAAATGGCGGAAACCATTAAAGAATACGATGTCGATGACCATGAAAATCTTGAACAAAGCAGTGAGGAGAGATCATACGTTATTATTTCCTAAAAGAATTTCAATACAAAGAAATTCTTAACTTCATAAGAAAATATCACGGTAAGCAGATTAGCATGAGTACATTAAAGCGAAGAATAAAACATTTTGGTCTTCGACGAAAAAACAGCCATTATGATATGGACGTTGTACGTGATGCAATTCGTGCGGAATTAGACGGTCCAGGAGGTTGCCGAGGTTATAGTTTAATATGGCATGCCCTTCAAATGAAGGGAATAACTGTACCTAGAGACGTTGTGGCAGGATTGTTACTTAAGAGAGCTTGATCCAGAAGGAGTGCAAGAAAGATCTAGACGCAGATTGAAGAGAAGGATTTACTGGAATCCTGGACCAAATTTTTCCTGGCATTGTGACGGATATGACAAGTTAAAACCATATGGCTTTCCAATCCATGGATGTATAGACTGATGGAGCCGTAAAGTCCTTTGGTTATATGTTACTAAGTCAAATAATCTACCAAGTAATATTGGAACGTATTATTTGGAGGCTGTGGAACAATTTAATGGCTGTCCTGCAGATTTTATTACAGACCTTAGTACAGAAAATGGCCTTGCCGCTGCCATTCACTCATTTTTTCGTAATGACCCAAGCAGTCATAAAAGTATGTGTCTTTACCCAGAAACCAAAGGATAGAAGGGTGGTGGTCATTCCTGAGAAAAGATCATGCAAATTTGTGGATCAGTTTTTTTAAAGATCTGGCTGAAGAAGGAACTGTAGATCTCTCCATTCCTCTTCATGTGGAATGCCTTTGGTTTTCTTTTGCAGATTTGCTCCAAAAAAATTTAAATGAAGTAAAAGAGCTGTGGAATTCACATTACATCCGAAAATCAAGGTATGACACTCTACAAGGAAGGCCAGATTCTCTGTACTATTTTCCCGAACTTCAGAATGGTGAATGTAATTTGCTTTTGCCTGTTCTTGAGTCTGAAAGACTATATGCTAGAGAGCATATTATATGTGAACATGATGCACCAAACAACTATCAGAGACATTTTTTGTATATGATGGAAAATTGCTCATTACAGAAACCCCAATTGATTTGACCAAAGTTGATGATAAATATTTAACTGAAAAAGAAAAAGAAAAACTTTATGACATTAGACTTGATTGTTTTAATAAGCTGGAGAACTTAAATTAGAGCCCTCTAATGAAACTAATCTTGTCACTTATGTTAAAGTTTTGTTTTCATTTTAACAACAAGAAGCTTAGTAAATCAGTCAGAATTTGTTATGTTATCAATAAAAATCTATGCTATTCTCAGTCCACAATGTTTGCGGTATTAGTGTAACAAACAATTCTAGAGCTTGCCTCCATGGGGTTTCTGTAGCAATTTTCCATCATACAAATATCTCTGATAGTTTGATGCATCATGTTCACATATGATCTCAATAACTCTCTCAAGAGCTAGAAAGGAAAAGCACATTCACCATTCTGGACGGAGCAGAATTGGCCTTCACCAATAATGTTGATTTGCCGGATGTAATGAATTCCAGCTTTAATTTTTGAACAAATCTGAAAACAACTTCACATGAAGAGAATGTGAAGTCTGTTCCTTCGCTGATCTAAAAATTGATCACCAATTTCATGATCTTTTCTCGAACTCCCATCCCTTCTTTCTGGTGAACTGCATGGTACTGTTTCGCGGTCGTACCGAAAAAAAATTGAATGGTAGCGGTAAAATTTTCTTGCGGGTCTGTAATTATCTGCGGACACGTGTTCCCTCCAATAATGCGTTCTTGCTGGTAGATTGTTTGACTTATTTACATAAACCAAAGGGCTTTCGGCCGTATCATTCATGCGTCGTAGTTGAACCCGTATCCGGCTTATGCCAAGGAAAGGTTTGGTCGAGGTTCCGTAAATCGCTTATCATCTGCGTCTAGTCTTTCTTTGCGCTTCTGAATCAGCTCTCTATCCTGAACAGCGTCTCTGTGCGTTATTCGAAGCATACCATCAAACTCGGCAACTGACTCTATTTCGCGAGAAATCGTGCAACGTCATTCATAATGGCTGATCGAACACCCAAATGTTTATTCTTCGCTATGTACTCATCCCTTCTTGAAGTTAGAATTTCTTTTTGTATTAATCCTTTAGGAAATAATAACATATGATACTCTTCCCAGATTTTCAAGGTCATCATACATCGTATTCTTCAATGTTTTCCGCCGTTTTATATTTTGGACAATAGTCAATATTTTGCTTTCACTTTCCCGCATATTCCAAATGTTCCATTTTTGTATTCAAATGTTCCTGAGTTTCAAATGTTGCCGTGATTTTGCATTCAAATGTTGCCGTGAGTTTTCGTATTCAAATGTTTATTTCAAATGTTGCCATTAGTTTTGTATTCAAAATGTGCCATTGAGATTTTGTATTCAAATGTTGCCGTGAGATTTTTGTATTCAAATGTTGCCGTGACACTTATAGGCCACCGTACATTTACATGTCGTAATCGCACATGATAATTCTTTGTGTTTTGTCTTACAAACCTTTTACTGGTCGACAGTTGGAACTTTGAACATTCAATCTTTCAGATAAATTTAACGTTCTGAAAAGTTAAGCGTCAAATGTCTGCGTCGTTTGAGTTGATACGTGGCAAACAGAGGCGTAACTAGAACGTTAATTGCGGGGGTGCATATTCATATATTTCGTCGTGCCCTACTAATTTCTTTTGAAAGTAATTTGAATTTCCAAAGAAATCAGTAGGGCACAACTGAATATATAAATATACACCCCCAATTAACGTTCTAGTTACGCCTCTAGTGGCAAAGAATTTTGTGCAACTTAATTATAAATATTAAAAGTTCATTGTTATGTAAAGCAAAGATACGGCCTTATGATTTTTATTGTTTCTGTTGAATTTTATTACCGTTTCCTAGATATTGTGCACGGATTCCGAGAATGGCCACCATGAAAATATATTTTTAATCGCAAAATGTTTTTTAAATCCAAAAATATATTTCCAGTGTGTAATTATATCGAAAATCTAAAAACAAATTTCTAAATCGGAAAATACTTTGAAAATCCGAAAAAATATTCAAATCCGTAAATATTTTTTGATCAGAATTTAGACACCTAAATGTTGTCCAACATGAAGTATTGCCCACTAAACTTTTAAGACATGTCATTCCGTAACAAAATGTTGGAAAAAGAAGCAGCATTTTGCTCTTTTTGTGGAAATGAACTAAGTTTTACGGACAGGTATTGTTTCAAATGCGGATCTAAAGTAGAAGCAAAATTGTCGTTATGAAATCAGGCGAAGACATTAGACCAGTACATGTCTATAAAGGAAGAATGTAGAGTAGGATTTAACATGAAGATCTCGAGCTCGTCATCGAAAAGGAAATCAACTAGCCAATGTCCACCTTCAAAAAAGCCTGTGGATAATCGTGTTGTGATACAGGTAGACATTATCACCGAAATGGAGGAAATCAAAATGCTAAAGCTTATGATGGGAAAGAGTTTTTCCTCAAGTATTACTGTATTGCACTGTATTTTGTTTATGTCATTTGTTTAAGAGTGCATAATTGCTTTCTTTGCGTCATTGTTTTTTTCAGAATTTACAGACATAAACTAAACATGTTGAGCTGTGTTATACCTGAGCTTGATGAAGGAAAAATCTGTCCTGCTTGTCACAAAGTGAGTATATTCGTATTACTCGTTTAACAATGACAATTTAGTAAAAAGAACATTAGCAATGCTATCTCAAACGCCTTTTTGACTGCATCATTTTGCATCATTGAACTCAAATACATTGCATGATTTTATCCATCACCATTTTATTGAAGACTGATGGTGTGATCTTTGAGTCTCTTGATGCTTTATTTATTGGACAAAGGAAAAAGCTGAGCAGAGTCTTGGAAAACCTCTGTTTGGACAGCTGATGTTCTATGATCAGAAACTTGTTGATCAATTTGTTGCCAATTATACCACACCTACATCAAACAAGGTCAATGTAGCTTTAATATACTTTATTCTAATAAAAATTCAGGATGCAAACATGGAAGTGACAGTGCTTTGAATATATTTGATTTTTTTTTTCATTTTCTACCACATAGTTTTTTTTTCAATAAATTTTTGCCATGGGCTTTAGGAAATAAAGCTCTTGTATACTTTTTTGTTTGTTACATATTGATACTTATAGGAATGTCATGGTTTTCTTGCTGGGAATGCTGTTCGATCAAAAAATCGCTACAAAGCTCTTGATGAAACAGCAATCTTTGGGCGAGGCTCTCAACATGACTTTCCTAAAAAATTCTTAAATTTGAAACATGGAGAGAGGTCTGCTACACATTTTTTTGTCTATTTTTGATTAAATGTTCTTGGTTTAAAAGAGGTGGTTAGGATGTGTGCATTTGATGGTGTAAATTTATTTTTTTCAGTTGGTTTGCTACTTTCAATGCTTTGTGTAAGCGCTGAAGCTCTTTGCATACATGTGGTTGCATTATTTAAAAAAATATTCTACATATTTTATAGATTGAGCTATGCAGTTTATGTTCTCCAAGAATTAGAGAAAGATAATGCTGATAATCCTGCACTCAAAATAAACATATTGTATGATGCTGCATGCATGTTGGTGAAACACTTACAGGTAATATTCAATTGACAATAGTTGCTTTGTTACCTGTTTCCTTTGTCAAAAACATCCCCTCAACACTTTTTTTCTTTGAAAATGTAGTCTTTCACATGTTTTTCTTTATTTTGTTTTTTACAAAAAGAATTTTGAGGATCCGATTGTTGACATTTTTCAATTTTCAATTCCAATTTTTTACTGCTATGTGCGTGTTTGACGATGCTAAGTTAGTTGTTATTGATTTTATTTTTCATACACATTAGCAGATGGTGATACCTATGCTATCATAACTAATGGTGTTGTAGATGATAAAATGATAAAAATTTAATAATTGTTTACTAAATCTTTCTTGTAAAAGGTTAAATTTAGTCCCCATCGTAAAGAAAGATTTGGCCTAACTGACGGTGAGATGTTGGAGAGATTTTGGTCTTACATTCGCAAATTTAACAGAATGAATAAAGAAATGCGTCCAAGTCACAGAGTTGATGTACTCAGTGATGCTCTTTTACATTATGGAAAGAAAACTAAGATTAATTTAGCTAAAGCAAGTTTTTCTTCTTTGTTTGAACATATACATAGCTAACATGTCATCATATTATGTAATAGCAGGTATGAATTAAATTTTGTTTTTTGAGGCAATTTGCTGATGGTAATGATGAAGCGAGCTGTTGATGTGGAAGAAACTGCAAAATCAGATATTGAAAAGTTATGCAGGTGCTTTCCGTTTGAGTATATGTTTGTATTTGCTGTGTGATTATATTTGACTCCGATTTGGATATGAACTATTCACATGAAAGCAGTAAATTTTCTTTTTTTCATTATCTAAATCTCACAGGATTTCAATAGATGATATTCGTAAGTAGATGAAGGACAAATCGACTATTTTTGGTCGTGAAGTTGAGACTGGTCAGTAATTGAGAAATAATGGCTTGTAGCTAAGGAACAGATTTGACACATAATTATTGATGCTCGTTATGTGGATTAGCTATAGATTTATGCCATTTGCTTCACCGATCCAAGGAAGAGCAAATCCTATTGAAGTCAGAAATGGAAAATACGTGGAGTCACTACTTTCAGCAGCACGGCAAAATTACTGACTTTTTGAATAGTTTTATTAACCATAAAAACGTACTTGATGTTGAAATATGGTAAAGCGATATTTTTACACACGACTATGAAATCACCAGCGATGATGTATAACGGGGTTGTGCAGGCACTTCAAGCTCTTGAAAATCCTTTAATTAGAAAATTAATTTACGTAAAGGGCACTTGAAAAGTTGCTACGAAATCAAAATCAAAGAAAGCGCTTAAAAAGTGCTTATTAGTCACAAAATTAAAATGAAATCTACTCAGTATTATTCCATATAAAGCTGAACAGAATTGAATGTTTTTTGAGTTGCTAAATTGTGAAGTTTTCCTAAAAATCTATTAATTATTATTTCGATTTATTGGAAGCCTAAAAAACCGTATGCCAACGGAAGCAGAAATGCGAAGGTTGTGTAAATTTAGTAACTGCCTCTAAAATGTAACACATGAAAATTTCTAATATAATTAATCAATAGCAAAATACCTTTTGTACATTTGACGATGTAAATCGCACCCCAAAAATTTTTTAGTTCTTTTTGCTTGCGTACTGCACAAATCCTGTATGATAAAGATGAAGAAGATGAAGAAAAAGCTATATTTTTAACTGCAAAGAATGTGTACTGTTTCTAAACTAAAGACTGTACGTTTATGTACAATATCCATTGTTTTTGCTTTATAGAAAAAGAAAATATTATAAAAAATGTATACTAACCGACGTACGTACGCGGCATAATATACATGATAAAAAAAGGGTTTCTTATTCCTTCTCGATGATTGGGTACACAGCATGGTGAGACTACAATACAATTTCAATAATGTGTAACCGTACATCCTGTTCCCAAGTGCAGGAATCACCTCTCTTCTATGGTGATAAACGGGAGGGCACATTGTTAATAGTGGTAAAGGAATTTTGGTGTGTGAAAACTTTTTAATCAGTCAATAATGATGGGTAATAGCCACCCAACGTACGTACGCCGGATAATAAATGTGTTTAAAAAAGTTTTTTGTTGAATAAATACTTTTTGAACAGTTATATGTAATTTTTTGGTTGTTATACAGTGTAGTATATGGTGAAAATTGATGTTATATATACGTGGGTAATGGCCGCCCAACGTACGTACGCTGGATAATAAAAGTGATGAAAAAGTGGGGGGTTTTTGAATAAATACTTTTTGTCCATCAAAACACATATGTAACAACTGTTATGTTAGCTAAATAGCTAATGTAGTTTATAGCGTTGCATAGTGGTGAAAAGATTTACTTGTGTTTTTGAGGTAACTATTTTGATTTATAACTAACTTTGATATGAAATATATCTATAAATTGTCCTAACTTAGTCACCAGTTCAATTAATCGTTAACTTGACTCTGTTTGACATATTTTTTTTCTAAGTCTTGTAGTTGTAACTAAAAGCATCTTTTATTTTAATTATAGACAAAATTGAAGTATAATTGTTTCCTGTACAAGAATTCATTATTTTTTGATAAAGTAGTAGAACTTAGCTAAAAAAAATCTTATTCAGTAAACCTAAACTAAAAACAGCGCTAGCTCATCGTCAATAGTATGTTTAGACGACATTGAGTCATAAGAGTAAATCAGTATGATACATTGTCAAGTCACCTCAAATTTTTACAAGATCTACTACAGCTTTCAGGTTTTTCGGTAAACAACAAGGTTAGTCACTTTCAGAGTCTGCACCGTCTTGAACTCCACTCGCACAATTATAAAATTTTTTCAGCGTTATTTCGGAGACAACGCTCAGTTTTTCGTATACAATATATGCAGGCCTATATAAAATATCATAGTTTCACTGTCACATAGCTTTCGCAACAAAAAAACGTCTTGGAATTTGGCGTTAGATGAACAACAAACCTCAGGGAATAAAACGTTATACGTGTAGTTGATGTTCATTGAATTCGTTTCATCAAAGGATCGAAAAATATCTGCGACTATTTCTTTGACTACATTCAACAGATCTTTTGCCTATATATACAAAAATGACAAGTTAAGACACAAGTGGGGCTCTATTTCTAACAGAGAATATGTTTTTATACTTGAGTTCGAGTTAAAGGACACGTCATGTAGAGATCGGTGAGTTCAGTCTGAGCTTGATTTCGCCCATGGATGATTTACTGGGTATGGCACCGTTGACGATTTTTGTTAAATGTGTCTAAAATTCAATGTTAAAATATTATAGGTATGTTTATCTGCAACTGATATTAAATAATTTAAATTCTAGCAGAACCTTTAATCCTCTGAATGAGCGATTTCCCTTTATATTTATGTCAAATGTTTTCGCAGATCTGTCAAAGAAAAATTAAAAGAAATGAAATATATTTATTCGTGTGTGTTCAACAAACTCACAATTTAGAAATAAAATATTTAAGAGCACGAGGAACGTATTAATAACTATTATGAATACGTATGCAAATAAATCGGTGATGCGCAAAAATGAACAGACTAACAATTCGTAGTTTAGAAAAAGTGGATGTATAATTTACCCATGAGTAAAGTAAGATACATTGCCTCCGCAATCAAATTTTCCTTTCGGCTTCGTCGTAATGCCAACGCAATCCAAATGGTACCATTGTTGACATACATCACGCAACACCCAATCCACCATTCCATTATCTTTGGAAGATGGTTCTTGACAAAGAAAGGCTTTACATTTGTCATAGGATGTCAAATGACTAGCTCTTTTCTTTGCACAAGACACACTTTTTCTGTCACTCGACTTTGCCTCTTTTCTTTTTCTTTTGTTGTTACTCCTTCCCTTTCTGTGTTTTTTATCAACTTTCTTAGGCACGGCGTTTTCTGTTACAAGGTGTCCGTCACCTTCATTAACTGTTCCGTGTCATCCACAAAATACATTCGAAGAATTACCACCATCATCGCTACCATTATTTACAACATCTTCTCTATCGCCGGGGACATCACCATTTTTACAACCATTATCAACACTATTAGTTCTTTGTCCATGGCCAACATCACATTCGTCGGAAACGTTGTTAACAAGTTCGCCATGACAATTATCATCATTCTCACCGCTAACTTCAACAACTTCTTGGACGTGGCCGCCCTTGTCTTGCTCTTTGTCACATTCCTCAACATTTTCTGCATGAAGAACATCATTTCCTTCCACTAACGCCCTTTCCACAAACGTAAGCTCAATTGATTTTTCAATATATACATCCAATGCTGCTTCTCCCATAGTCGATGGATCCCGTAATGATGCGTGTTCTGGAATTCCGCATACTACATATTTGAAATCCCCTTTCAAAAGAGAAGTGTATGGCACTTTCGCTTTGTCCATTCCAGTTGCTTCACCTAGTTTTTTTTTAAACTAGTATAAGCTATTCTTACTGAAATTGCCGCAGGATTGTGTGCAACTCCTTTTATTAATCATTGCTTCTAATATTACAAATTTTCATTCAGAAGTAATTGTACTTATTTCAAGAACTATTGACCAAGAACAACCTTTTCATATTCCATCTAAATGTTTTACAATTAGTTACAAGTTCATACTTACAGTATTTCTGATTTAAAATATCACGCAAAGATTTTCTCTTCTGTTTCAATCTTGCCATGCGATTCTCGGTAACAGTTTGAACGTTGTCGGTTGACTTAATTGCTACAACCAAAAAAGTTTGTATTAGATTAAAATATTAAATAAGAAACAAAATTCACAAGTTCTCAGTTGTCCTGAGAAGAAAAATGTATTTCGTCACAGGCATGATATAAAGTGACGACCACAAACCTCTAGAGCTGTTTACTAAAGTAAAAATGAAGCGGGGATGCTCTTTCTTTTGCAGTATTGTAAGACAGACTTTGAGCCATGCACTTCAACATTCACGTCAGCCACGAAAAAGTAATCAATGTTCAACCCTTTCAAAACATCCAACTAAACAATGGCACCGATAGCATTAAAAAAGGTACTTGCAAAAAGTTGGTTCAACCCTTGCAAAAATAAACTATAGTTTTGAAAACTTTAGTATTTTGGAACAAAAACTGTAGTTCCGAAAACTATAGTTGTATGAATAAACTATAGTTTTCGGGACTATAGTTTTGGGGATACTATAGATATAGAAACTAAAGTTTTGGGAGAACTGTTTTACAATTGATAGTTTTGTTCCCAAACACTTCAGTTTTCAAAACTATAGTTTTCCGTGAACTACAGTTTTCCAATGAATCTATGTTGTAATGTAGTTCATTAACCAAGGGTTTCATAAGCACAGTTTAGCAAATTCCCTGTACAGGTTCTAGTAGTACACATTATTTTATACAGAATTCAATAAAACCATGAATCCACGATACAATTGCGGGAGTATCGTTACATGTTTGTAAATGTAAATGTAAATCGTCCAGATTGGTGTAGTCCTGAGAAGGACTGTTTTTGTTGTTGTTGACTGACTACGTTTCGACAACCTTAGCGGTAGTCGTCTTCAGAGTCAAATGAGTAGAAAACGTCAGGTTAGCCGTATTTGTTATCTGGTTCTTACGTCATTGTATTGTGTGTACAGGAAATGTGTATTGTCATTGTGAATTAGTGTGAAGTGTAATGTTTTTAGTTAATCGTTTGTTTGTATTGTGAATAAGTTGTTTGTAAGGTACCAGTAATTGCTGTGATCTGTTCAGGGGGGTTTGTTCCAAGTTGGTATACCAACTTTCTAATGTAAGCCGTTGTCTATAGTCAGTACTGTAAGTAATGCATTTTGCCGAGTCCCAGTCAATGTTGTGCTTTGTGATTCGGTGATGTTCGGCAATGTGATTAGTTTTATCTTTTTTCTTAGTAGCTCGTTTGTGTTCAGTAAGTCTTATGTTTAAGTTCCTGCCAGTTTCCCCGATATAGGAGGCGTGGCAGTCGGAGCAGTTTATTTTGTAAACTGCACCTTGTCGTTCGTTGGGTTGTTCTTTGTCCTTTATGTTCGTTAGTACTTGTCGTAACGTTGTGATTGGTTTATGTGCGACACGTATGTTGTATGGTCGTAAGATACGCGAGATAGTCTCAGACGTACCTTTGATGTAAGATATCGTTGCTGTTGTCACTGAGTTGTTTGTTTTGTTAGGTTCGTTGGGTTTGTAAGTGTTGCGTGTGATAATTCAGAGTTATAGTTGTTTTTGTCAAAAACACGTTTGAGATAGTTGTTTTCGTTGTGTAGAGCGTCCGGTGAATCACATATGATTTGTGCACGTCTTGTTATTGTTCGGATTTTGGTGGCTTTGTGTGATGTAGGGTTGTAAGATGATTGGTCTGGTAGTCGGTCAGTATGTGTTGGCTTGCGATCAATTGTTGTTCGTAGTTTTTGATTGTCTTGTCTTAACAAACAGTCGAGAAAAGGAAGAGTTCCGTTTTCTTCGACATCTTTGGTAAATTGTATGTGGCTGTTCTGTTTGTTGGTGTGAGTGTGAAAATAATCAATCTCGTCTGCATTTTAGTGCTGTGGTTGTGTCATAACCAAAAAGGTAGTGCATGTTTGTAAGTCGTGAGCGCCCGTTCCTCTATAGATTGCATTACAATTTCAGCAACTACAACAGAAACGGGCGAGCCCATTGCTGTTCCATGTAATTGTTTGTAGTGTGTACCTTTGTACTGGAAGTAAGTCGAGGTGAGGCAGAGCTCCAGTAGCTACATAATGTCTTCTGTCGGTAATGGCAGTACGTCCGTGGTGTTTGTAATGAGGATTTTTGTACAAGTAAGTGCCAGATTAAGTGGAATACTGGTGAACAGTGATTTCACATCAAAAGACACTAGTATATAATTGTCCGGTATTTGTATAGTGCTCAGTTTTTTAATGAAAGTTTCAGTGCATTGCAGCTTGTGTTTGGATTTGTTTGTAAGTGGTTGCAGTATGTCAGTCAAGTACATTGAGAGTTCGTAAGTAGGCGAACCACAGAATGATACAATTGGTCGCATGGGTATTTGTGGTTTGTGAAGTTTTGGTAGTCCGTATAGTCTGGGTGGTCGTGGTACTGAACATCTGAGTTGATAGTAAATACGTTCAGATATAATGTTAGATTTTCTCATAGAGAAGATCTTGCTGTTAAGTTTGCGTACTAGTGATGGTGTTGGGTCTCGTTTGAGTTGTTCGTACGTTTCTCTGTCGTTAACAAGGGTGACCATTTTGTTGAAGTAATCATTACTGCCCATGACCACAGTCACGCGTCCTTTATCTGCTGGTAAAATGACGATGTTGTTGTCGTGTTTTAGTCGTTTGAGTGCTTGTTGTTCGTTCTTTGTCAAGTTGTTGTCGCGTATAGAGGGCGATTGTAAAATGGAGGCTATCCTGCTTCTGATCTCGTCTTTGGTTGTCTCTGACAAGTCTCTTTGATACCCTATTTCACATTTCCTGTACACACAATACAATGACGTAAGAACCAGATAACAAATACGGCTAACCTAACGTTTACTCCTCATTTGACTCTGAAGATGACTACCGCTAAGGTTGTCGAAACGTCGTCAGTCAAAACAACAACAAAAACAGTCCTTCTCAGGACTATACCAACCTGGACGATTTACATTTACAAACATTAAGTTCTAAATCTATAAATTTAAAACGATGTATCATAACCTTCTAAAGGTTGATGACACTACGTAATATTGAGTTGTTGCTTTTCACCCAAATACTAAATTTCAAATCCAAAATATACTGAATAGAACAAGCAATTTACAAATTTCTCCATTTTGGAAGACAAAACTGAAAAGCAGGGAAAGCATTGATTTAAAAATACAAATGAAGTAAATTTTCCTCAAGCTCACCATTGCCATTGTCAATTTGCTCATTAAGTCTTTTGATCTGATTTTCCAGCATTTTTACCCTCTCTTTGAGTTCCAAGGCTTCTTTTTTATACTTGCATTTATCATTGCAAAGTGCAATACCTTCATCTGACTGACTCTCCTAAATAATCAACAAGAACTTAGGCAATATTTAATAATATTTTCCTTTTAGTGCCAACTATTAAGGTGTACTTTACTAACAAGAAGTACAATATCTTATAATGATAAATCTCAATTTTTTAATTTCATAAGCCCCACTAATTGAAAATTCTTTTGTATGATTGCCGTACACAAGCCTTACACTGTACAATGTTTGCATTTTAAAAGATTTTTCACTTATAAACAAGAAATAAATTTCAAATTAACAGCATTTTATGATTAAAGGGAACATATCATACAGTATTAACTTTTTTAGCCTTTAACCAAACAGCATCCAAATTTTATTCTGAAAAATGACCATAATTCCCTAGCATTCCCCATTAAAAGTAAAATTGCATAATTTAGAGATAAGAATAATTGGTGTTATCATTGTGTATAGTACAAACCTTGGTTAATCACTCTTTTATAAGTGAAGCAAGACTGGCTGAGCAGCAAAACTCCGTTTTCTTTGTCCTGGATGCCTTTAGCTTTTTAGGAATACTGTGCTCCTGCTGGTAACAAGAACAAAAATACAAAATTTTATACATGTTGTTTGAAAAGTTTGTTATTAGCTACTACTTCTCATTTAAATTCTTAGGCTCATAGCCTTGTTCAGCAATGCAGACCTTCGAACATAGAATTAGTAGCTAATAACATTTGAATCATGAATACCATATGGAGTACTTAACAAATTTCCATGAATGCATCATCACATTAGTGACATGAGTGCTAACTATAGATGATGGCAGCAATAATTGAGAAACATGCAGTAAACACCATTTAAACAAAATGTGGTCAATGTAATATTTCGGGAAACTCACCACTTCATCTGATTCACTAACACTTTCAATTGTAAACTTTGCTTTGTGAATTCTTTTGCGATACCCTTTGCCAGTATTTATAGAGAAAGTTTCTTCTTTTCTCATTGTCTTGAGTAAATAATCTTTATTATCTGTTTATACAAAATAATGGATGACTATTTAACAACTATTAAAAAATAATAATTTTCAATTGGAAGCAGTAGCATGCCTGAAATTATAAGTAAACAACCTTATGCAAAGTTTGGCCTAATGTATTACTACATGTATTTAAGAGCAAGCAAGTTCAAATCTGGGAAATAGACACATCCTTATTGTCAGTATTGTAATTGAACTATTGCTATGTAGAAGAAAGAACAACATTTGAGCAAAGGCTTTTTATCAGAAAGTATTTCCCTCCTAAAAAAGCAGTAAGTTGAATTGATAACAGCAACCTTCATATCAACTATGACTATTTCTACAAATAAGACAGAGAAATAAACAAATAGATTTTCACACAGAAATTTACAGATATATAGCAAAGCTAAGATGTTTCATGAAAGAAATGATAACAAAGAGAAAGAGCTTGATTCACTAGCAATTAGCTTTTTGGCTGAATTATACAAGCTTTTAGAAACTTTACAAAAATTTCTACAACAGACTAAAAATACTAACCTGAAACCTCAATTATCTCTGCAGGAAATTTCCTCGACTTGCCGTTTCCCTTTGTTTTTCCATCGCCTCACATGACTAACGTTTTGAATCCTTTAAAGTTCATCTTTGTCTTTCGACATATTTTCATCCTCAAAAATCATGTTAGAATATGGAATGATATCCATGTATTTTCGTTGTAAAAATTCACCAATGCAAACGCCATATTTTCGAATATTATCGCTGAAAAAGTTTTTTCAACGTATCTTTGCAACAAGCAACATGTTAATCAGATTGAAGATCATGAAATCGGGTAAAGATTAAGGATTACAAAATAACAGTCCCAGTCTCCCAACGCTCTCGTCTAAATCTAAACAGAATAGTTTGAAACAATATTAAAACAAAGCAAAGAAAAGCTTTTTGTTTTTATAAGTTGAGGGAAGCCTAGTGTTTTCCGCGTTTCAAAAATCCATGTTAAGCGTTCATCAAACTACGGTGAAGTAAACATTAAAAATGGCTCTTGAAAATACGGTCCAATTATGCGAGAAATACGAAGCAGTTATGGTTCTCAGTGGAGTGGGGATGCTCTAGGTTATAAGAATGGTTTGTGGGAATTCTGTTACAGTTGTACTCAAATTCATGAAGAACTAGAAAAACTCGGAGGACTTGATAAAATTGACATTAAAGGATGGAGGGTTAGTGACGACACTGTACTATACATTGCTACAGCAGAAGCGTTGGTTTCTGAATGGGCAACAACGGAAGAGTTATTGTGCATTATGGCTACAAAGTACAAGAAGACATGCGCTGAGGATATGTGGGAAAGAGCTCCTGGTCAGACCACAACAAACGCATGTTTCATGTTACAACCTCTTGAGGAAAAAGGTTACATTATACCCTTTAATGAATGAGGTGGCGGATGTGGTGCAGCTATGAGATCCATGTGTATAGGTTTGATGTTTCCTTGTGAAGATCAAATTAAAATGTTAATTGAAATTGCTGTTGAAAGTGGAAGGATGACTCATAATCACCCCACAGGTATTCACCTTTCATAATAAAGCAATGATTTCAGATCATGTCTCAATTATCAAGTCACTAATGTCTAGTGTTCTGTCTATCGACAAGTGTTGCTTTGTATAAAGTTTGCTAGGTTTTCTTGTTATCTGCATTGCTTCTCATTTTGACAAATCTTTATAGTAATTTAGCTTTTCAATCCTTTCGCGTTTCTTAGATGTTTTATCTTCAATTCTTCCTTCGATTACTTACTTGATCAAGCCATTACCATGAATGTTTCATATCCTTTTATCTAATATCAATTTATAAATGAAATAAAAGATGGTTGACCTTAGGTTTGCATAAGTCTATTTAATCCATCATTTTCCAGAACGACATCTCAAATCCTCCATCCTTCTAACATTCTTGCTTTTAATCACCATATCTTTGATTTATCCTTTTTATCGCTTCTCCACATTTCAAAATTTCTGTCTCCTAAAAGCTGTTTAAATTGCCATTGCTGTTTTTGCTTTTATATCGCCACTACTACAGCCATTGAATCCATGATTCATATCAAAATGCCGTTATTATGTAAATAGGGTCATCATAATGTAAGTGACCTGAAATTAGCAATCTTTAAAGATAATAATTTTAATTATAGGTTATCTAGGGGCTGTTACTGCAGCTTTATTAACAGCCTATGCTATACAGAAGATACATCCAAAAAAATGGGGAGCAGGACTTTTAGATGTTTTACCCAAAGTTTGGGAATACATTGAGAAGGTTGGTCGTGATGTAGAAGAAAACAAGAAATCTTGGGGCTACTTCAAAAATAGTTGGGAGTCATATCTTGAACTACGGGGATTACCAATGGCACCAGCGAACCAAAGTTTCCAGTGATGTATAACATACCTGAACGTGATGCTTTTTATAAATCTGTGAGTTATGCAGGTTGGGGTGGATCCAGTGTTCATGATGCACCAATGATTGCTTACAATGCTTTGATGATGGCAAAAGATTCCTGGTTTCAATTGTGTTCTTGTTCTATGTTTCATGGTGGAGATAGTGACAGTACAGGAATATTGGCTGCAGCATGGTGGGGTGGTATGTATGGTATGAAAACGGTACCCCTTGGAAATTATAGGAACCTGGAATATGGTCATAGGCTTATGGAGCTGGGTAAAAAATTACTGAATGTATCAAAGAATATGAAAAACTAACAGGATAGTATTTATTTAACAAAATTTATGTTGTAAGATTCAGTCATCCCAATATACTTTAGTATTTTTGTGAATCATACAATAAAAATTACTACTTGGTTATAACATAAAAACAAATTACTTTAGAAAAAAAGTCAAAAGGAGAATGTCAGATTCAGGGCATGGGCAGTTCTAAGTTTTACTTAGGATGATTCCTGGCCTGTAGAGTAAGTTTATTGACTAGATATCAGTGAAACTATATATAGACAAGGACCATTACATCTTTAGGTTCATTTTACTTCATAAAGTGCATACTGAAATTGTTTTGTTCAGTACCAAAAATACCTTGTGAGGAGGGGAGGGGAGTTGACTTGGTGAGTTGACCTTGCTCCTTCAGTCTATATATCAAAAATAGGCACTGTGATTTGATCTAAAGATATTTGAAAAATTCCGAAGCGTATAGAGTTTACTGTATCGCTTTTTTCGTATACTGACTGCAGTTTTACAAAACACCAATGAAAGATTATAATATCAAAGACACGGCGAAAATAATATGATTAGAACATAGTAATTTTTAGTTACCAAAGCTTTACTGCATGTTTACTGTTATTTATAAACAAAGATATACATTAACATAATTTGGATCGCACAATTTTCTATAAAACACGTGTAGCTACCAAATTGTAACTCTAAAGCTTTATCATATTCCCCAGTATCATTACACATTACACCTAGATTGTTTAAAAGACTTAGCAACATCAACATGATTTGGACCTAACGTTTTTCGAATTTCCTGCGCTTTTTGTAAAACTCTATAGCTTTGTCGTAGTTTCCAATTTTATCAAACACCGTTCCAAGATTGTTTAAAGACGCAGCGACATCAACATGATTTGGACCTAACGATTGTTTTTGAATTTCCAGAGCTTTTTCGTAAAACTCTATAGCTTTGTCGTAGTTTCCAGTTTTATGTAACACCATACCAAGATTGTTTAAAGACTCAGCGACATCAACATGATTTGGACCTAACGATTGTTTTCGAATTTCCAGAGCTTTTCGTGAAACTCTATAGCTTTGTCGTAGTTTCCAGTTTTATAATACACTATACCAAGATTGTTTAAAGACGCAGCGACATCAACATGATTTGGACCTAACGATTGTTTTCGAATTTCCAGAGCTTTTTCGTGAAACTCTATAGCTTTGTCGTAGTTTCCAGTTTTATAATACACATTACCAAGATTGTTTAAAGACGCAGCGACATCAACATGATTTGGACCTAACGATTGTTTTGAATTTCCAGAGCTTTTTAAAAACTCTATAGCTTTGTCGTAGTTTCCAGTTTTATCAAACACCATACCAAGATTGTTTAAAGACGCAGCGACATCAACATGATTTGGACCTAACGATTGTTTTGAATTTCCAGAGCTTTTCGTAAAACTCTATAGCTTTGTCGTAGTTTCCAGTTTTATCAAACACCATTCCAAGATTGTTTAAAGACGTAGCGACATCAACATGATTTGGACCTAGCGATTGTTTTCGAATTGCCAGAGCTTTTTCATTCAACTCTATCGCTTTTACGTAGTTTCCAGTTTTATCAAACACCAAACCAAGATTGTTTAAAGACGCAGCGACATCAACATGATTTGGACCTAACGATTGTTTTTGAATTTCCAGAGCTTTTTCGTAAAACTCTATAGCTTTGTCGTAGTTTCCAGTTTCATCAAACACCATTCCAAGATTGTTTAAAGACGCAGCGACATCAACATGATTTGGACCTAACGATTGTTTTTGAATTTTCAGAGCCTTTTCGTGAACCTCTATAGCTTTGTCGTAGTTTCCAGTTTTACGAAACACCATTCCAAGATTGTTTAAAGACGCAGCGACATGAACATGATTTGGACCTAACGATTGTTTTCGAATTTTCAGAGCCTTTTCGTGAACCTCTATAGCTTTGTCGTAGTTTCCAGTTTTATGAAACACCATTCCAAGATTGTTTAAAGACGCAGCGACATCAACATGATTTGGACCTAACGATTGTTTTTGAATTTCCAGAGCTTTTTCGTAAAACTCTATAGCTTTGTCGTAGATTCCAGTTTTATCAAACACCATTCCAAGATTGTTTAAAGACGCAGCGACATCAACATGATTTGGACCTAACGATTGTCTTCTAATTTCCAGAGCCTTTTGATTAGAATTTTTAGCTTTGCTATACCTCCCGGTGTCATGGTATAAAAGACCGAGGATATTAAAATACCAAGCTTTGTCATAACTACATTCTTCTGATTTAAATTTCTCCAATAGTTCAAGAGCAAGATCGTATTTTCCAAAGTGTCTTAATCTGTCAACAAAATATTGCAAAACTTGTAAAGTGCTCATGTTGATTTTTGTCTTGTTGGTCTTTAATAATTGAACAATTTTTTCAAGATGTGGTACTAATTTGATTTCGTCGTCTCTCTCTTTAAACATGTAAAGTGCTTTGGATATTTGATCAACGTTAATTTCCATTTCATGTTCTTCATTTGAATGTTCAGATTGATAAACAATAATTGCTTTGTGAACAATGCGATGTAGACTAATGTCATTATTTTCTGAATGCAAGAACAATGAGCATTCGTCTAAAAAAAGACATATATCTTCCTCAGCTTGTTTGGGATCATTTTTTTGAACATAATAAACCATAATTTCTCGTGGTAAAGGATCAAATGATATCATAGAAAAAGCTAATACCAGTGCCAATATTGACGATTCTTCTGCACTTTGTTTGACAGCTAAAAGTGAAGCTTGTAACATACTTCTAGGATATACAGAGTTAAATTTAACAAAAGTGACGTCCATGTTTTCTTCTTGTTCTGAATATATTTTCTTTAAATATTGACTCCAAGTAAATGAACAGTTTGCTTTGTTTACAAGACTGACATAATAACCAGTAGCAGCCAAAGCCAGCGGTTGACGATCTAATGCGTGCGATACTTCATTCAACAATTGATCATCAGCATTTTCATCTTTAGTGTAAGAATTTAACAATTGACAACATTCTCTGTCATTCATTCCACTACTGATAGAAATA